ATATCAAAGATAGGAATGCCAGCCATAGGAGGGGAGAACCCTGACCCTACCTCCATAGCTTACCTTTTGCTCTGGCTCAAATTCATTAGCAAAGCCAAGAAGATGTTAAGTCTCTAGAAGCCTCTACCCCTAAATTAGCTAGTTCTCCATAATGGAAGGCTTTGATCACTTCTCTGTCTCTGTCTCTGTCTCTGGTTTTGTTAGCTGGGTAGTGGTTCTGACTAAAGAGTTGTTAGCTTCTTTCCAGACTTACAGCTTTTCAGTCAGAACCACTATATTCTAGCAGATTGATGCCGAGATGTCTTGTCTGACCTTAGGGAGATAGCCGAGAAAACAGTAGAAGAGAGCTTTGTAGAGGAGTAGCTGAGGCCCAGCCAGAGTTGCACTCAGTCAAGACCAGCAGGAATGCTTTTCCCATGCTGGAGCAGGCCCTACAACCCCAGTGCAGTAATATACCAATATTGCCAAAGACATCTCTCTAGGACCCTGGGGTCACCCTTCACAATACTTCTCACATATGGGCCCCTCAATCAGGATCCCTAGGCAGGCTCATTTTCCTCCTTCATGGTGTGTATATTTGTGAAATAGCATGCCCTAAGTTTGTGGAGTAGGTGGAAAGAGAGTTTTCTATTGCAAATCTTCTTACTCCTTATATTCAATGAAATGCCTTTGTTTTGAACTTATTTAATATATAATTTTAAATTGTTAATTTATAACTTAATGAATTCATTTATAATAGTTCTTCTGGCTAACTAGAGAAGAAAGAAATGCTCTGGTGGGGGTTCCTGAGCCCTCATTTTGAATGGACATGGACCCAGAGAGTATCTTAAACTTAGGATAGCAATTCTGAGGGCTCTGCTTATGAGAGGAAGTTTTCTTGGCTGCTACATACATTCACACACAAATCCTTTAATATATACATTGTGAGAGTAAGGACATCATAATGCATAGGACACTGGCCTTGAAGTCAGAAAGACTTCCTGCCCCTGAGAAATGCTACCCGTATGATGAAAGACTCAGAGCCCTCAGGAGGGTTTCTTAAACTGTGGAGGTGGAAGCAATATAATGTGACTGATAGGAAAGATAAAGGGGGAGAAGGAGAGTGATGAATCCATGATGAAATTGAGAATGTGAATGAGAGAAAGAGAGAGAAACAGAGAAAGAGAAAAGGAAAGAGAAGAAGAAGAAGAAGAAGAAGAAGAAGAAGAAGAAGAAGAAGAAG